AAATTAAAGGAGCTAATCAAATTGATTGAATATAATTTTTCAAGAAAATTAACTAGTTTTAAAATTAATTTAGATTATGAATTTACTCAAAATAAAATCATAGTGCTTGGATCATGTTTGCAACAGTCAATTTGGTTTGTTTCACATTACTAATTTAGGATGGAATGGTTGATCTGTTCATTTAATTCTTCTGAAGTTAAAGATGTGGTTCTTAGTGGAGATCCATGATTTGTAGGTGGTCATATAATTGGCATGGATAATTGGAGTCCAGAATATTCACCATTATCTTTAAAGAATTTGTTCTCGCCTGTGTGGATTCAATTGCCTCATCTCCTATTATTTTGTTGGAATGAAACTAATATTGTAAGAATAGCTTCTAAGGTTGGAACACCTATGTATTTGAATGACAATATGTTTAACTGGGGTATAAGAGAATTTGCAAGAATCTGTGATTGTATTAATCTTGAGGTCAACTTCTTCAAGGTGTTTGGGTAGATGGATATTCTGGAACATTTTTTCAAAAAATTCAATATGAGAAAATTGCTTCATTTTGCTATAAATGTGGTCGGATAGGATACAATCAACAAAGTTGTAATAAAATTGATAATTTTCAGAAGAAGGATTCTTCTTTATCTAATGGAAAAAAGGATAAAGGTGTACCTCTGATCATGTAACTGTTATGAATCAATATAATGCAAATGAGGTTTTAAAATCTGATTCCGATTCTGCTATGGATTATGATAACTACGATCTTTGGATTCATCTCAAATAATGGAAGGAAAAAAAAAAAAAAAATCTTCTAATAGATCTAAATCTGTAGCTGATTCTGATAAAAATTCAGTGAAGACCAAGGTGGGCTTTTATAAACCTATAAATGTAAATTCAATTTCTCTTGACGAAGATAAAAAGAATTCTGTTTAGATATACCTTGTGCTGTTTCTAATTACTCTACTAAAGAAGTTGCTAAATCTGTACTTCCAGTTGATGCTTCTTTCAAAACTAATGCTGTGATTTCTAAGTCACTTTCAATAGAAGATGATAATCTTGGTGCGAGTACTAAAGATTTTTCTGATGAATGTTTTGCAACTAAAAGTATTGATTTAGTTGTTGAAGGTGCTGATAGAGAAGAAAGTAACAAGATGGAGACAAAAAGATAATTCCAACTTTAAAAGCTCCAGAAGTTGCTGATGTTACAGTCATTGAAGATGTCTATGATACGGGTCTTGCCACATATTCTGTTACTGACAAAGAATTCAAAAATTCAGAAGTTAATAAAGCTCAAAATATTGCAAATGTTAATGAGGTTCTTGATAAAGTTAAATCAAGAGCATCAGAAGGAGATAACGTTGAAGACATTCCAAAGAATTTTAAGGTATCAAACTCACCTTCCGAAGCTATTACTGTTAATTCTATTCTTGGTATTGCTTCTTCCAGTTAGGATTATTCTAGTGGAAATGAATTTTCTCATGCTGTAAAAATTGAGAATTATTAGTCTTCAAAATATGTTCAACAGAAAAAATTAAAGAAAGAATTGAGTTTGTATGGTCCTATTAAGGATAGTCTTAGAGGTAGAAAAAGTAATGGAAATCATGAAGGTGCTGGGGGTTCATCCCCATTGATCTCTTAAACGTCTTCATTATTTTTTTGGAATTGTAGTGGAGCGAAGAAAAAAGAAACTTTCCATTACTTAAGAAGTTTGATTGTAGATAATGGTGTTTTCGTTATTGGTCTTATGGAAACTAAATTAGATTCCATAAATAGTAATGAAGTTAGAAGGATTACTAATATTGATTGGGATTTTTTTTTTCATTTTAATGCTAGAGAAACTTCTGGTGGTATTCTTGCATTGTGGAAAAATAATATTTCTTCATTTATTATTTTAAATTCTTTTAATCAATGTATCATTGGTAACTTAAAAGCTCCTAATGGAATTATCTGGACGGTTGCCATTGTTTATGGAAATAAGGATTTGCATGAAAGAAGAAACTTGTGGAATTTGATAGAAAGCTATACAGCTAATGATAATCCTTGCATTATTGGAGGAGATTTTAATTGTATTCTCTCCAAAGTAGAAAAAAATGTGGTAAAAGATTCATGTTCTCCCAAGGGCCTAGACCTGTCAATTTCGGGTCACGGGTCGGGTTCGGGTCGAACCCGGAATTGACCCGGCACTATTCGGGTTCGGGTCAACCCGACCCGTTTTCACAAACGGGTCATTTTTCCGGACCCGCACCCGACCAGCTTCGGGTTCGGTCGGGTCCAATATTGACAGGTCTACAAGGGCCGCAAGAGATGAAGAATTTTCTTATATAGAAATGATTATCATGACATTGGTTCTATTGGGCCTAAATATATATGGTGTAATAATAAAGAAATTCTTGCTCGTATTTGGGATAGATTAGACAGAATTCATCTAAATTTTAAAGCTTAATCTCATATTCCTTTTGGTGTTATTAAACATTTACCAAGAGTCGTTTCTGATTATTGTCCTCTTCTACTTAATCTATTCAATTCAATAATCTATAGTCATAAATCTATCATATTTGAAAATGTATGGTGTTGTGAAGAAGCTTCTAGGGGTGTGGTTATGAATGCCTCGAGGAAAAAAGATTTTGGAATCATATCTAATATTCTTAAAAGGAAAGTTAATAGATCTCTTAAAATTTTATTTTTTTTTTAGCAAGAATAAATTGAAAGAGCTGAATAAATTAAAGTGTGAGCTACAAAATGTCATAATGGTGAGAAGGCAAAGAAAGTTAAAAAAATTTTTTCTTGTTGAGAAGTTGCTGAAACTATTTATCTTTGTGTGAAGATGGCCCCAAGAAGGTTAAAAGTTGCAGATTATCAAATTGTTCTAAAGAAGGCAATTGAGAGGCTCCATGCATGGGGATCTCGTTATCTATCTTTGCCTGGAAAAATTTTGTTGATTAAAATAATATATTATTCTATTCCTTCTTTCATAATGGTCGCTCTTTGGTGCCAAAGAGTATTCTATACGATATTGACATGTTTTGTAGGAGTTGTTTATGGCATAAAGAACAAGGAAGACATGGTTTGCATTATATCTCTTGGAATACTCTTATTACTTCAATAAATCAAGGTAGTATTGGTATTCAAGGTGCTATTGATAGACAAGGTCCTTTGAGAGCCCATATTGCATGAAACTTCATTCAAAATTAGAATTCTATTCTTGGCAAAATTATTGTGGCAAAATATTGGTAGTGACATTTGGAAGGAAGATATTAGAAGATGCTCTTCTCTGGCATGGAGAATAATAAAAGATGGTGCTAGTTTTTTAAAACCCATAATCAGATGGAAAGTTTAAAATGGGGAAAGAATCAAAATTTCAAGCAATATTTGGATTATGGATAGATGTTTAAAGAGATGGCCAACAATGTGCAACATAAGTGATCTTCAAAATAAATCGGTTTCATTTCTCCTAGATGTAAATGGCAGATTGAACAAGGCGAAGTTAAAGAAGCATTTTTCTGAGGAGTTAACTGTAGTTAATCTCTAAAATTCATATTTTTTCAGATTCAAGTGAAGATCAACCAGAGCTGTTATCTATTAATTCAGGAAAATCATTTACTACATTGGCATATGAGGTATCTTAAGGTTCACAATGAAGTTGGTATAAATATCAAGTGGATTGGGATGTTAAAACTAGCATCTAAGGAAGTATTATTCTGGTGGAGGTTGATAAACAATGCATTGCCTACTAGTCTTTGGTTGATCCATAGAAAACTGCAATATACAGTTTTTTGTCCGTGTTCGGAAATTGAAGATATTCGTCATATTTCAATCCAATTAAAGTTAAATGAAATATTTGATATGATGAAACAATGGGGTATTCATCTTCCTAAATTTCATAATTTATCTCATTGCATGAATAATCTAAGGAAGGTGGCATCGTCAAACTCAGGAATAGTAAGAATTTACTTATCTTCAATTTATCATAATAGGAAAGCTAGGAGTTATTCTAAGCATGGAGTCAAGGTTCCAAGCTCATATTCTTTCTTATTTAATTAAACCTCAATTAATTCCAATCTATCAGAACTGGGATGCTAATCAACACGTAATGCTGTCTAAAAATTGGTATCCCCCACATACAAATTGGATTAAGTTGAATGTTGATGATTCATTGATGCAATCTAAGTTGGCAAGTATAGCAGGAGTTTTGTGTGATCATAAAGGTCGATTCTTACTTGCTTATGGAAGGAAGTTAAAGCATTGGGACATTTCATTATTGGAATTACTACCTGTTTTTGATTTCAAGAATGTAATTCAATATTGGATGAGTGATAAGCAGGAATCATTATTAAAGGTGATAACATCCATGTAATCAAAATTATTGCAAAATTCAATTATGAAGACCATCAATCGGAAGACTAGGGTACATAGATTGGATTTTTTTTCTAGAAGTTTTTTATAATGTAAATTTTTATTTTCTATAGAAAGAGTAATAGAGTGATAGATGTTTGTTCTCACTGCACCCTCTTAGGAGATTTTTATTGGGAAGCTTTTGTTTTTAGTGAAATTTCTTCAATATTTGCTGACTTGATTATGAAGGATTATGATAAGATTTTTATCACATATGTTTATGTGCATCTTTCTTCTTTATAATTTAATGCAATTTACATATCTTCAAAAAAATTTTTAATAACAAAGTATTCTTTTTCTGCTCCATTTCATTAATACTATTTTAGTCAACCAAACAATCCTCCGGCTGAAAATTCTGCATAAATCCTGTATACAAACAGCGGTTTGCTTCCGTTTTCTTAGCCATGATCGCGCACCCAGCTCTCCTACTTGCTTCGCGGTGCCACAGCTATTTTCCCCCTGCCTAATACGGGCAAATTATTGCATCAGGTCACCTGACAGAGAGATGCGTTCGGTCTCTCTCTGTCTACAGTAACCTGCGCTTTACTGTAGCACTGCTACAGTAAAGCGCAGGTTACTGTAGACAGAGAGGTCACCTGACGCAATAATTTGCCGCCTATACGGCAAGTGCAAAGCAACAAGTTGCCGGAATCGCTTTGGTTTCTCCAATGGGGACCTTGCGATGCAGGAATGAAAGTGCGATCGAGGGAGCGCAGGCGGTGAGCTTAACGGAGTGGCAGCGATGGGGTACTTCTTCTCCCGTCCCCGCCATGGTGAACCAAGTGATCGATGATCTCCGCGTTTTGACGAGGGACGCCGATACGAGAATGTGCTTTGGCGGACTCGGCGGAAAGCCTCAGGTGCAGGATTTTCTCTTATTTTTCTTTGATTCTTCTTCCTCCTTGTGTCCAGAAAACTATGTAGACGTGGAGACGATGGTGAATTTTGATTTAGTTGGAGGGTGGAAATAAAAAGTGGCTGAGGCAATGAAGAATTCTGTAGGGAAGGGTAATTTATCGTTCACGTTGGGGCTGGCTTCCTCAGGAAAACCGCTGAATCCTCACGTCGTTGTGCAGAAACGCGCAGGCGGTGAGCTTTAAGCGAAGATTTGTAATGTTGAAGATCGGGTATCCTTCATGATTGAATGGAGATAGGCCAATCCTAGGTTTGGTATCGTCTGACTTCGGGCTTGCTAAATAGAATGAAGTTATTGCTTACACCTTCAGAGTATAGTTGATCCTTTTTGCTGCTTGAGCATTTGCGATAGGAGAGAGATATAGAGTTTAACGTTTTAGCATTGCATGAAGATTTAGGGCACACACATATAAGAGAAGAGTACATGAAAATCATGGGGCTTGGCCCAATTAAAATAATTCCACTATTGTTTATCATCAACTATAAATGATGCCCTTTCTCAAGAGAAGGCATTGATACACTTTGAAGAGCATATTACTTGGTTGAAGTTGGAAGAGCTATTTGACATTAATCCAACATAAATCCAAATGTTGAAGTTGTGAGCCAAAGTTAATGTTGACGGTGTGCATTGATCTTATAATTGATAATGAGTTGGCATTACCAACAGTGCTAGATAATGAAGTCAGTAGGTGTCGGAGGTGGACCTTAGTCAAGTGACGATGGCTGGAGGGTTGTAGTCGAGCAACATTGATTAGAGGACAATAGTTGGGGGGTCATGTTTGAAGGAGCATAGTTGGGTGATGGTAGTCCGAAGGACATTAGTTGGGTGGCAGTAGTTTTAAGGGTTGTAGTTGGCCAGCGAAGGCCAGGGAATCATAGTCGGGTGATGGATGTACAATGATCGTAATCATGTGATGGTGGCCTGAGAACCTTATTTGGTAGGCAATAGAGGTTGTAAGGATATATTCTGTTGACAACTAAGGTTGAAAGTCTATAGAGGTTGAAAGAACTGTAGTTGAATTATGGTGGTCAGAGGACTATAGACAATAGACGACAGAGGTCGCAAGACCTTAGCTGATAGGTGACGGAGTTCAGGGGGCCATTGTTGGATGATGGTATTCAGAGGGGTGTAGTTGCCAGTGACGGAGTACGGAACACCATAGTTGGGCGGCAGTGGTCTGAGGACTATAGTTGGGTAACCATGATCTGAGGATTGTATTTGCCTGTAATAGAGGTCGGCTAATAGGCAGTGGAGGTCGAAAGGATCATTGTTGACAATGGTGGTCAAAGGAGTGTAGTTGTTGACGACGGAGGTTGAAGGATCCTAATTAGTTTGAGGACTGTAGTCAGACGATAGTGGTTCGAGTTTTAGTTGGCGGGTGATGGAGGTCGGCTGATAGGCAGTGGAGTTTAGAAGGATCACAATCGACAAGCAATGGAGGTTAGAAGGACCGTAGTTGGGTGACAACATAATTGGTGGGCAATGAAGGTCATAGGATCATAGTTGGAGGGTAATAGAGGTCGGAAGTAAAGTAGTTGGTGGACGATTGAGGTCGAAAGGACCGAACTTGGGCTACGGTGATTGAAAGATTGTAGTTATGTAACAGTGGCCTTAGGACAATACATAGTTGGGCAACGGTCGTTGGCATACCGTAGTTTGGCGATGGTGGTCCGAGGATCGTAGTCAGATTACGGTGGCTAGAGGATCATAGCTTGAAAGTGCTATGACACCCTAAGAATCTCCCTTCTTCCTCCTGGTCCGACAGAGATGCTACCCCCTCTTGCTCCTCGCACAGTGGAGATACCAAACCCTCCTTCAGCTCATCACTACGGTGCAGATGCTCTTTATTAGCCTTCTTGGCTTGTAAGTCTTTTGACCAAAAATTTCTCCTCGAGCTCCACAATCATAGCACGAAGGACCCAATGTGTAGATTGACCGGAACAACCATCTGAAAATCCTCACACCTCTTGACACCCTCAAGGAAGAACTCTCTTACTTTCACATTCTCTTCCCTCCTAAGTTATTTGGACTCTCACTCGAGCAAAGAGACTCCCTCTCCTCTTAAGCTCTCCCTAAAAAATGTCCTTTGCTACTCAATTTTAGACCCTTAAGCCTTTGTTAAAAGAATTAAAGCGAGCTATTTAAATTAAAATCTTAATTTCAATTTTAATTGCTATGCTCGTACAATACAATACTCGGATTGTACTGTATGATTAGTTCAATTTCGTCACTGATCATCTTGTACTATGTATAGTTCTATAGTACAATTCGTTATATTGAATAAAAGATCGTTTAGAACGAGCCATGGTTCAGTTAGCTAGCTCTTTATTTGATTGGTCTGTACGATATCAATCCTATAATACAATTATTAATTAAGATTTAATCCTAATTCGATTTCTTAATCTGCGGGACAAAATTAAACAACATTCATTAATGTTTGTATAGTACGAAGGGCTTCATACAGTACGATTAATTCAAATTTTAAATGTCTAATTTTGGTAATATAGATTCAATGATAGGGTTCAAGCAAAATAGCTGATCATCCTGTACGATTGGTGATTGTATTATATGATTAGTTATAATTCAATTTTAATTATTTGATCTAATTAAATATTTGAATTAGTTTTTGATTTAACAAATCATACAATACGGTGGAGATCATACAATACAATAAACAAAAACATTCAAGTATTTAATTTTATTCCCTTTGTGAATGCGTGCTTGGTTGTTTAGCCATCATATACCTAATACATAAAATGACTAAACAAAAAGTACTGACTATCAAACAGAAATTGAATTAGACCCTGACGATACATTCTCTTGAGTCTTGATTCTTCAGTTATGCTCATTGTATACTATACTTGAAATAGTTAGTAAAACATAAGAAATATATAATATATGTAAAGCAGAGATTAGTAATTAATCACATTAATAATATTCGAAATCATTAAAATACTAGCTCGGGCTTCCGGATTATAACGTAGTCGTGGGTTGGTGGTCGGAGAATTGTAGTTGGGTTATGTTCTGTAGACTATAAAGGCCGAAGGACTATAGTTGTGTGATGATGATTGAAGGGTTATAGTAGTCGGCCAATGAAGGCTTGACGGCGACGATCAAATAGTGGTTCGATAATGATGCATCATTGGTGCTCCGATATTCTTACAGCCTCAGAGCTCTCCTGAATCTAGCGCCAAAATTCTAGCTCAAACTCTAAGTCTAAGCTCCTCCACCTTCCCATATAGAGAGTGTATGTCTATTTAGAGATTTTTAAGTGTCATGCCTCGTAAGCATAACCGAAATTTAGAGCACTTCATTGGATGATCCATATTGATTCTCTTGATCACGAAGTGTTTGTTCAACATTTAGGTGCCTTAATGAAATTAGAATTAAACTATCTAGGTTATATTGGATTCGTCTCATTAAGATGCTTGATTCGACTATAAGCATGCCAAAAGTGAAGATTATTTGGTCCTCCAATTAATGTACTAAAATTTTCAATTACTTATAGCCCTTGATTTAGCCTAATTCAGACTTGAGATTGGACCAAGTTTTGTGTTGTAGGATTTTGTAAACCCTCCTTAGGTCTTTTGGCAGGTAGCGACTTGGTTGTGATGAGGGTATTTCATCTTGGAGCAAATCCCTCAAAGGATTCGCCCGGGACTAATCGGGGAACTTGCCCAAGGAGAACGATGACGGTCACTCGCCAGGGAGTTCACCCTAAACTAGGCGACTAGGAAGATCCTTACTAAGAAAATTTATCCTCATTCATCTCAATCAGGCCCTCCTACAACAAGCTCGTTAGACTTAGTTATAGGAAGGCTTTTACCTCAGGGACTTCATACTCCATTCAGCTATCATTACTAGGCTCAAGAACTCTTCATCCCTGCAAACACTTCTGATTTTCTTTTACAACAAATCAACCTCGACCTCCTAACACTATTTGCTGACTTGATCAGGACACTTGCCAGCTACGGGTCTATCTCTCGAGACTCGTCCCACGCCTACTCTCCCCTCCTAGCTTGCCTGATAACAGACAACTTCCGCGATTATTGACGCCCTTTTGCAACAAATCATGAGGCAAAATGTGTCTTATTTTAACGTGTAGCATGTACGATTTTTCTGTATAGTCCACAACAACAACAACAACAACAACAATAAGCCTTTATCGCACTATGTGGGGTTAACTACATGAATCTTTTTTCTCCATTATATCCTATTAAAAGTCAAAATTCTCATTTAAATTTATTAAAAAATGTCATTTCTAATATTTTCTAACCAAGTCTTTTTAAGTTTATCTCAACTTTTCTTAACATTTGTCAAACTAATACATCTACTCTTCTAACCGGGTCATCAGAAGGCCGACGTTTTATGTGACCAAACCATCAAAGATGGCTCTCTCTAATCTTATCAGCCACTAGAGCTACTCCCACTTTTTCATGTATATGCTCATTTTTGCTTTCTCTCTAAGAGTAAAGCCACTCATCCAGTTAAGCTCCTCATCTCTACAATACTTAATTTTATGCTTCTCTTTTAATGGCTAACATTCTATGTTATAAATCATTGTCGGTCTCACCACCATTTTATAAAAATTTTCCTTAAGTTTTAGGGATACTTTTCTATCACGTAATAGGCCTGTTGCATTCCTCCACTTCAACCATCCAACTTAAAATCTACTTATAATTTCTTCGTCTATTTCACTATCACTTTGGACAATAGACTTGAGATATCTAAAACGTGTACTCTTAGTAACAACTTGATCGCCCAAGGTCACAATCCCCCATTAGACCTATGACTACTAAAGTTACACTCCATGTACTCGGTTTTTGATCTACTCAAACAAAAACCTTTAGACTTTAAGATTGACCTCTATAATTCAAGTTTAAGTTCATCTCCCTCTCTAGTTTTATCAAGAAAAAGAATATCATCAATAAAAACCATATCGTA